GGTTAGAGACAGCGAGAATTGTTATGAGACAGCTCAGAAATGTTCTCACAGACCGAGAGGGTTCTGTTTTGGCGTGCCTTAAGAAACAGGTGCAAAACATCTCTATTTACGTCTGAGAGGATTCTAAAACATGACAGTTTTAACATAACAACTTGTTTTTCGTTTGACTGTAACCTTGTAAACGCACACACTTGCTCATTCAAAAGCAGAAATCAGAAAAATGCATAAACTCTGCACAGCTTTTAACATGAGAATAAAATCATTACTCAGTTAATAAAATTGATTAGTTCACTGCAACATCTAAAATGGTTTGAACTAAGACACTTTGATTATCAACATTTGTAAGATAGTAATGATAATAAAAAGAGAGTGTTCTTTTCACTTGAATCTTCAAGAAAGAAAGTCTCAGGATGGGTGAACCTGTATTTATGGAGTCAAATACATGAAATGACAGCTTCTGTCCCACAAGGTTCTAAAGGTCAAGAGTTTTGACCTTAGACTGGGTTTCGACGTAGGCTTAGTCCACTACATATATACACCAATCAAAAACTCAGTCTTGCACTTTTTCAGCTTTAACTTCCTGGGGTATTTTATTTTCTTCCCATGAGACTTTCATGTCTGAACAGTCTATAAATGATCTTTATGTAATCACTATTAGAATCAGTCAGAATCAATTCAGAGCAAAAAAAGACATGCTGGAAGGCTCGGAAGAACTATAACTCCGAGGGTCGACACAGTTGAGAGGTGCAAGGCCTGTGAGCGGTGCAGCATTTTCAAATCAATTAAATTAAGTGTGTTATTCAATTTCTGCAATCTGTTTTTTTTTTTTTTTTTTTTTATAGTGGAGCAGCAGAGTGGCCTCTAAAAAGTCATTAAATCTGACCACACTGCAACTGACTTGGCTCTTTGCTTTGTTAGTACAAGGGATAGGACATTAAACAGGAGTTTTGTCTTTAGCTCAGTAAGGAAAAACAGCAAAGGCAATAAAAATGCTGCTGTCCCAATGGGATTAAAATTAAATTAATATTAATTATGCTTCATCTGGCCTTCGTAAAACCTTCAAAAAGCCATGCAAGGAGAAATTCTTTGTCTCCATGCATGCTGGTTAAAATATTAAAGACTGCGGTGGAACTAATGTTATATCGTTCAAGGAAAGGTTTTCGTGCCTGTGGTGGAGCATCGCAGTTGCTAGGCACTGCTTTCACAGGTATATGGAGAGGATCTTTGTCCTCAAAGACAAGATTGCAAATGCCAATAACATGACTGCCATATGAACACATGCACTGGCACATGCGCATACACTACAAATTAATAATATTTCTGAGTTGTTTTCAGACAGTTTTTTGTCTTTAATCCTGCATGTTCACAACAATAAGTACAGTAAAGCGTGTATGCTCCGTATTTTTAACCACAAGTTTTGTGCAATAAAATAATACAAACAAAATTAGAGTAAATAATGCTTCTTATTATGCTGATAGTCAACCCATGCCGAGCTTCTGTTATTCAAACTGAAATCAAAGTACATTTACAACAAATCAATCCTAAATTTGTAAGCAGTTTTGTTTATTTATTTGCATCTTTAAAAACACTTCCAAAACTGCATCTTACACATTAAAAAAGTAACATTTTTAAAATAGATACGAAAAACACTCATGCACAAACAAAAGAGGAACAAACAAAAAAACAACATCTTGTCAAATGTTGTTTGTATCACTTGCATATTTGATATGGTGCACATTCTGCACATTTAATTGCACATTATGGCAGGGTTACTGTGCACGTGGTGTTAAAAAATCAACTAATATTGAAAAAAGATTAAAAAAAAAACAAGCAGAAAGATAGTCTACATAAACTGAAGTTGTGGCTGACGATGTGCCAGTTGTGCCAGTAACACTGTAGCTGTGAGTGAGTGGTTCTGGTGTGGAGGTGAACAGGTAGGCAGGGCGTGGCCCCGTGCGCAAGCTGTGACTGTGACACGCAGTGACACGCCTAGCCCTCCTGTTCTGACAGCAGGTGCTCCTTTCTCTTCTCCATAACAGCCACCTAACATTGGTGATTAAGTTTTGATTTCATTCCCAGAAAAAAATAATAATAATAATCATAAAATCTGTGAAAGATATAGGTTTAGAAATATATAAATAAATATTCTAAAATGTTATTAATAAAACTCCCCAGGGTGCATATTTTCTCACCTTCCACAATAAAAAGAAAACATCAAGGGACTCCTAACTTTATAAGACTCTGCAGGGGTGCCTTTTGTTAGCAGCGCTTCATAAATTGTTCTTTATGCCCCATGGCACTTAATACAGTCTTTTTCTATCAAGTGAATTAAAATTACATTTTAAAACTGTGATAGAAAACTTTCTGCTTGAAAACCTGACAGAAATTGCAGCACATATTCTCACCGAAAACTATTTATTATTATTACTATTAAAGTATTGATTTAGGTAAAAAAAAAAAAAAAAAAAAAACTATCATCCAGGTTTTTTTGTTTTTTTTTGTGAAATGGCAATAAATAAATAAATAAATAAACAAACACTTAATTATTTTAACTCATTTACAAGTTTTTCAATTTGGTCAACTTAAAAACTGATCAGTATATGGCCGATGATGGAAACACTGCAGTACTGATGTTGAGGAAGTTCTAATGTAGTTGTGTGGGCTCCTTTAGAAGTTGAACACTTATAAGTTCTTGTAGCCAAAACAAAAAGTAATTGTGATGTTTCTGTAACATCTACAACGAGCTCAGAGACGATGTGATGGTTCAGAATTATGCAGACAACTCACAGACAGTTTCTGTGAAAGAAAGATGGAAATATTAAAGTCCATGCTCAATAATCCAGGTAGAAAAATCCAACAAAGTTAAGTCAGGTCCTCTGGATTATTGAGCATAAACGTTGATATTTTGAACCACTTTGGGCTTGTCTGCCTCAAACGAGTTGGCAGGGGAGAGGGTGGACTCCAGAAACCATCTTAGCACCGTCGAACTGGTTGACCCACTATGCAAAGGTGCTATTTATAAGATTGAGTTTGTTGTGGCTGCTCGGACTGATGAAGTCTTTTTGATTCATTATGAAACGTTTCAACAAAAATAAACCATCCAGAGGACCTGACTTTGCTTTGTTGGAAAGAAATAAATACTTAACAAAAATTTGTTTTAACATACAGAAATGTTTCTTGATAGTTCTGTGGATTTGGAAAGGTATTTGTGAAATGTCTGCCTCATAATTCTGGTGATAGTTAAATACTATGTGCCAGTGCATTGATTTACTTTATAGAAAATCAAAAATATAGAATATATTTAATATATGAGGGAGTTTTCAGTCTGTTTTTCTCTCCAGAGATTAACATAGAGCATTATCATTATTTGTTTTACCTTTTCAAGTCAAAGATTGAATGTTTGATGGTGTTCATTATACTCAAGTAAAAAATATTTGCTCTTTCCTTTTGCTAAAGTGTCAAATTGTTTCTTTTTCCAGTTCCAGTGGCTGGATATATATATATATTTTTTCCTCTTCTGTCCATCTCTTCTAAAGCCAATTTCAGTTGCCATAGTGCCTGGACAGACATGTTCTACCACTGCAGCTCCATATTTCTGAATCTAAAGTGACTGACCAAACATAATACTGTACATGGACCACAGAATACTCTACAACGATCCTGCCCCTTTCACACAAATTATGTAGAGGACGATGATTCAGTGTTGACTTTAATAAACAAACAAAAAAAAAAAAGTGAAAAAAGGAGGAAATTTATATGTACGTTGATATTGGCACTAGTTGTGTGTCGTTATAACCACATTAAATTAGCCAGATGATGTGTCCTACATATGGAGTCACTCAGAGGTAAGCAAAATATCAATAGGAACAAGATCAGTAGTCACTTTGATCCAGTTGAGGAAAAACAAGAGGTGCTTTGTAAAACTCATTACATTCAAGCTCAAAGTACATATGTCCATCTAATCGGAGTTTTTCTGTGAATACTCTGCAGATTTGCTTTGTGGTAATTAATCTGGCAAAAATAAAAAAAAGTGGGTTAGTTCAGAAATTAGAAAAAAAAAAAAAGGAAGCTATTTTCTGGCTCTCCATATGTGCTCACGTTTGACTGCAAGAGTATTCAAATGACTCGGATCATAATTATTTAGCTACAGAGATTTATATTGTTCCATTTAGGTCAACCAAATAAAATAATAATAATTCTAATATGGACAATCAAGATTCAGACAGTGTTGCCAGAAAGAGAAGGGTATCAACAAAAATATAGTTAGTTTTATAAACACACAACATACAAAGTATACGTTTTATTAAACCACAACAACTTTTGGCTGTCTTAAGAAATAAGCTGATTGTCATTTAAGTATAGCAGTAATAGGTTTTGTTTTTCTCTGTTGCAAATCATTACATTGTCTTTAAATCTTCAAATGACTTTTTTCCCCCTTTGTAATGCTGAGCTGCATTAGAAAAGGCTTTAACTGCAACAAGAAAATGCATTTTTTTTCTTTATTCAGCTATTATCATCTCTGGATTTCCGAAAATATATTAAAGTACAAGAGTTTTTTTTTTTTTTTTTTTTTCATTTCCCACTGTCACACAGTCTAAATCCATGTACCCAATCATCCTTTTCATCTACATTCACTCTTCTGTTACATCAGTACGGTGCTGATCCTCTGTATCAAGGAGTGCACTGCAATACTTACCCTTCATAAAGATTGCACGAATCCACACAGGTTCTTCCACGAATAAAGTACCGACAGAACAGGCACTGGTCTGGACCAGGACCCCAGCACCCATCATCTGAACACAATGGGTCGCACACCATGCGCTCCCTGACTGCTCAAAAAAACAAAACACATTGACAAACATTGTGTAAGAGTAAACAATATCCTTGAAGGATACATAAGTGAATCGATGTGTCAGCATTTAGTTTGACACAAAACTTGAACACAAATATTTGTTATGTAAAAAAAACACAACAATCTTACCCATTAAATGATACAACGCTACTATGTGCATTATGGCACAATGATTTAGCAAGGACTCATTTATGCATTTAGCAGTTTCACCTCCACATGAAAGTTGCTCATTAAGTTGGCCTATGTATGTTTTCAGACAACAACCTTCCTCAACAAAGCCAGGACTAAATATGGAAGGAAATGCAGTAAAAGTAAAAAAAAAAAAAAAAAAAAAAAGCAGGGACTAAGATATCTCTCTTTAGGGAGCAAGTGAGTGTCAAACTGAACACAGAGCAGTCAGAGTAATTATCCATTTGGATGATTTACAAAACAATCCAGTTCTTCCCTCAAAACACTGGCATTTTAATATTCAAATATGTTGGACTGAAGATGCTAAAATCTATATTTTATTTTCTTTGTGTATTGCATGTTAGATTTGTTTTTCTTTTTTTTTTAACAGTTAGCACAGGAAGGAGCTATGCTGCTTCATAATTTACTTGCTGATCTATGACAAATCACCAGTGAGTGAGTCAGAGAAAGCACTTGCAGATGCCACACAAACTTGTGTTATAGCTGAAAAGAAAGGGATGTTCCATGAATGTTGTTTTCACACAGCACTGTTCAATTTAGTCCATTTCCATCTTCTTTAGAATCTGTATTTCTCTCTGCTTTTTGTCTTTCTTGTTTCTCTTCACACTCTTTTCTGCAGTGGTAACCACATTGGGCAACATTATACTGACAAAAAAAAAAAAAAAAATGTGTAGAAAGAACACAGTGACATCATTACATATACAGATACACTGAGAACTTTAATCCTATTTCTAGCCAGTATAGTTTTCCCTTTGCTATAATGGCCATATGTAACATGCAGGCAATGTTTTGGTGTCATGGTGGTTACAGTGTTATGAGGGAAAAATGCAGATACAAAAAAGAAAAGAGACAGAAATCAATTGTTCCTTTCAAGGGCAGAAGATGAAAGCTTTGCCTTTCATAAGAAATACAACCACCTGTGCTGGGCATAGAGCTCCACAGGTAAACTGACCGGGCAGAGAAAAATGAGCAAAAAAGGAAGGTTTAGTGCCAAAGCAAAGACATTGACTGTGAAGTAAGATCAAAAACATGACAACTTCAGTTGTGTCTGAAATGGTTGGGAAAGAAAAAAAAAAAACACTCCTGACATGAGGAAGATAGAACAAACTAAGTAGGAGACTTTGATATGGGCCTTTCTCAAGAAAATAAAAGAAGGAAAAGGAAGGATAACAGAAGATAGGAATCCAAATGACATGAGGATGGTTGTGAATTTGCGTGGTAAATTGGAAAATAACAGTAGCTGCATGTAGTTTATGCTCTGTTTCAAAGCAGCACTGAAAGCAAAGCAGGGCAGCTCCTGAAAGGCCATGAGAGCATGAGAGCAACCGTTGTTGACTTCTTCAAATGGAAAATGCAAACGTATAGATCATGATGCTTGGAAAAA